TCCGGAATATTTATGAATGTAAGCAACTGCTTATGTTTAGATTTTTTGAGAGAGTTGGAGAATTTTTCGAGAGAATAAAAAACGATACATTAGCTGTTATTTAAAAAAGATTTGTATCAGTTAGAACCGCATCAGTTTATGCGAGAATAAAAAGTATTGTTTTATTTTTGCCAGACAGTATTTTGTAAGTTTTACGTCTATTTTATTTTAATCCTCACGGAGAAAAGAATGAAAATATTAGTTATTATTATTATTATTATATTATTAAAATGAAAACATTTTCTTTAAAATTCGCAATTGCTTTTTCTTTTAAATATAGTGAAAATGTTTGTACTGTATATTCAGATATTATCAATTATAATAAAAAAATAAATTTTAGCGTATTTGATTGCCCTTAAGATTTTACATGAATTTTTAAATGAAATTTGGCTTAGTTCGGAAATTCGTCTGGTCCCGTGCGTTTGTATACTTTAGGAACATGTCTTGAAGGGGTTAAGAAAAGAAATGTATATTTTATCTTTACGGAGCGTGTGCTCATACGTTAGTTCTTTAATGGAAATAGCTTTATTAATTAATTGTTGTAAATAGCCTCATTTTTCCTGCGTGTCAAAAAAAATAAAAGGAATACTATAACAGAAGTATAACAGTTTCTCGAGTCACAACACATACCTTAAAAGCAATGGAGTGAACTTCATATCGGTCCGCTATTTGATTTCGCCATATTAAGATCGCCATAATAGATATTTGGTAGCCAGTATAATGATGAATTATAAAGCTACCACCCAAACTTTGTGATAATTTAGAACTATTTGACGGAAATATCTTCTGTGGATCAATATTAAATTAGTTCCGTATTTCTTATACAATAAGAATGTTTCATATTTCACGAGTTCCTCTCTTTCTTTGAGTATTTAGCAAGAATGCAAGTTAGCATTATTGTGTTTGCCAATTCTTTGAGAAAATAGAGATTTCTCTCATCCGATTATTTTGCTTTTAAAAAACGTAAGAAAAATTTCATTTAGATTATCTGAAGAATATTTGTAAAAAATTCTAAACATATTCAATCGGATATTCTAATTCAAACGAGTGAAAGAATTCGGTATACATTGAGAAAAAAAATGCTACAAAAAAAAAAGATAAATAGTTCCATAGATGATGCCAGTTAAGGCCTCATCAGATAAAATACTTGGATTAGAAAAAAATTGCTGCCAAATCTAGAATTATATTAGCGTTCGTTTTTGAAAGTATTACAATTAAATCTTCTTTTTTCAAGTAGAAAATACGTAATAGGTGAGCAAATATATGTAGAAAACATTTTTATCTTTCCTTTCGAGTGTATTCTTTTTTTTAAGTAATTTTCTTTTTTGCTATAACCTATACTTCTAGGATTTTTGCAGTTTATTGAAACTGAAACCTAATTTATTTAACGCACGTCAGCCTTGGAATCTAGCAGGTTAGAACTTTTTGTTAAACTTTCCTAGAAATCTCTATTATCTTTATTCACAATAAATTGAAGTAAAAATAACTAAACTCTGAAGGATTTTAAACCGCAAGAGAAGCACAATGGTCCCCTCCTGTTTGCCCTTGGTTTTTGTTGCTCACTGTGTGATCATAAAATTTAAAAGTTAAAAATTTATGGAAATGTATGTACAAATGGATTTTCAATGATTGTCGTTTGATGATACGAGTGTCAGAAGTCTTATTTATGCTGGTCAAAAATACGACAAAAAATCCTGTAAGAGATACAATAATTACCTGGAATAATTATGTGCCACTACAGCATAAATTAAATAGTGTGAAAAATTTGCGTTGCTCATATTTTTAACAATTAAAAAGAAGGAAATTACATATTTTTACCGTCTTTTCACCTTTATTGGACTTCAGATATAATAAATCATACAAAGGCAATTTCGTAAGAGAAATACAACACAATAATAAGAGAAAACGGGAATAACGCACATTTTACTCACACAAAAATAAAAAAGGATTTCTCTTAATATAGTATTTAAGACACTCCACGCGTGTGTTGCTTCTACACTAAGTGTCCCAAATTCCCCAAAACGAAAAAAGGAACCCCCATTTTTTACATAATAAAGCCAAAAGTTTCAATAGTAAAAACACCATTGAAGGAATTTTCTTCGCTGATGCACTCAGAGGCAACTCCCCTAATAATAGTATCCCAGACGTAAATAATGCTTCTAAGGAAGCACAAAGTCAACCCCAGATTATACCCAACAAGGACAATAATGCTAACGATATTTGAAATTTTTTTAATAGACCTATTTAAAATTATCTCAAATCTTGTAAAGCAATTTCCCAAATTCATAGAAATTCTTCCAGCTCTTAAAACCACCAATCATTACAAGCAGCAAGCTTTCCTTATTTTAGAATCCCTTTTAGAAAATTAATTTTATAAATTTTTAATTATTTCTAAATTTTTCTAATTCATTTATTTCGGTAGATCTTTTATTTCCCCTTAATTGACTTCATTTCAATAGCTTAATTTTTTTTCTACTGAGTTGGGCATGGATTATTAGAACAAGAGCTCTCTCATTCAATTGCAAGTCGCCGGAACCAATCTCCCTGGCTGCATCCCATTGTTTACTGCCTTCATTTGCCACACCTCCTACCCAACCATGAGGGAAACACCAAGCTCAGTCACTACCTGATATGGAGTGGAGGAGTCTACCAAGACTTTTAGTCTCCAGTCAATTCTAAACCGTCTAAACCTGTGTTGCTCTTCCCCTGCAATAATACTCTCCTTATAGGAAAATTAAGTTTTAGAGGCAAAGTTCACTTCCCGGCGTGATTTCAAAAAATAACTACTGCAACCATAAAAGATGTAACCAGGGTTACGAAAATGGTGACTTAATCACTCTTGGTGACAAACGTGGTGAAAAATAAGTATAACCAAAGAATCATCCATAAGGCTCTAGGATTAATTCTTCTAGAAAGTCATCTCCCTATGATTATATAAAAGATCTTTGTAGTAAAGATAGAATAAAATCAAAAGAGAGTTCGATCACGTGTGAGTTGACAGCGATAAGAGGAGAGAGACTATCTCTTTGAGTTCCTGCAAGAGGAACTGTACTGTGAGCCATTTCTAGAACGTTCTAAAGCTTGATCATAATGAGCGCAATTTGCACTATTTAAAACAATCTGTTATAGTATTTCCTTGAGTATACAGGGTGGTTTGGAATTCATGGTACAAACTTTAAGGGTAGATACAAGATATTGTGTGCAACAATCATTTATTGTATAGGAATGTATGGACACAAGTGACGCGGTGAGGTGCAAACAGGGGAAATAAAAGGGAAGAGAAATAGAGTTATTGGTTGGTTGCGTTGTCAGTCGGGGCAGTAGATGTCTAGCCACCGTTCAACGTCATGCATCTCAGCGCTACGAATGTATCATGCACAGTTTCCTGATCGAAGAATGCTGGATCACAAAACTTTTCAGCTATGAACGCACTCACCCGAATGCCATGAGTAGGGAGCGATGATGAGGTGGTGGAGCAGTCCCTTGGTCACCCCTATCTCCCGATTTATCGAGCCTCGATTACTTTTTATGAGGACATCTGAAGAACCTTGTTTGTTCGACTCCACTTGACTCAGAGTAGGATCTCGTTGCTCGAATATCCGAAACTGCAGCACGGGTGCGTGAAATATCTTGCATCTTTGAACGTGTGTACGCCAATTTCTCCACTGACGTAGTCAAGCATGTATCACCACTGGTGAACGCAATGTCGAACAGTGATTGTAATAATTACACTAGTCAACGACGCTTTCAATAAACACTTTGTCTTTCCCTTTGTCTCTTATTTTTTGTGTTCGGGACTCACCGCGTCATTTGCGACCTGTCCTGTACAATAAATGCTAGTTTAAATGTCCTATACCTACCCTTAAAGTTTGTACCATGAATTCGGGACCACCCTGTATACATCGATTTGTCTTGTCCATCTTCTTGTCCTTGTTCATTAATAAATCTATTATTCACATCATTGAAGTCGTCGACTGCTCTTGCCACGCGCTAATTTGCAACCGTATGTTTTTCAACTGCATTGTTTTCTCCATAAGTTTAATAAGAAATTCCTCACCATTTGTGACATTGTTCATTTTGCTTATTTGGACGTTTTACAAAAACCTATACTTCCCCGACAGAAGTCTTACACTCATTGTTTAGTATCATAAGCAAATAATTTATATTTTTCCAACGTAAATAGCTATATAACACCATAACACTGAATCCGACACTTTGCACTTTAGTACACAATCTTTTCAAAAAGTATGAGAATTCTAAACTCCAATACATTTCTTTCTTACGAGAATCATTTAAAATGCGACACAGGCAAGAGTGGTAATCTTTTTACAAAAATTTTTCGTTACCCGATTTTTTTTCCGCGGAATACTTTACATGGCTTCACAGGACATTATTGCTCCGAGGACCACCCGTTCCCGCTGTACCTTTGGGGTAATATTCGAGAAATAGAGGTCATCAAAAAAAGAAAGAACATGCATAACTTTTCCAATCAATTGCTGTGCCCATAGTAACTGAGTGGTTATGTTCACAAATTCGAGGCTGCCGTTGCTTATGTCGAATCGTGGACACTTGTCCTGGTACCGCTAAAGATCCTCTGTACAGGAAGGCTAATTGGACGAAAAATTTGTCGAGAAACGAAGCCCTCTAGTTGACGTGGTAAAGAAGTTTGAAGAACGGTATGTGTGTGTCACACACTTGAATGTGTTTAAAATTATAAGTTCCATCACGTTTCGTTAATCACGTAATGAATCGGGGATAACGGTGTTATATTTTGGTTGAGTTAGTGCGTGCATATTCACGTCGCACTATAAGCTATTGACGACAAACCTCATAATTCTGAACCATGGTGAAGTGACTAGGACGTCACCTTAGCTGCCTCCTCCCTCTTCAAGTTATTGCACGAACGGTAGGGCAATTGAACCTCGACAGATTATTTCATCGGCCTCCTCTATACGGCGGGCTTTCAGCGGCACAAGGCTCGAACTCATGACATACCGACCACGAGTCCGTGACCATGACCACTAGGTTAGACTCGTGAAGAGGGATATGGATCTGCAATAGATCATCCATCCCCTATATGATAATGGATTTTGGCGCTGGCAAGTGGAAGACCTGAGTAGGTTAGACCCTCCCGCGTGTTATATTTTGGAACCAACGTCTTATTTTATTTTACCAAATCAATCGAATTAATATCATTTTAAAATAATTCTATGTTTTGGATAAATTAAAATACGAGTAGATTGTTCTTTTAATTATTATTTTGTTACCTATCTGTAGCTCACAAATAAACTGATAACTATAAATAGATGTTTCACATTTTAATAAGCAAGTACAATATCCCATAAATAAATATTCGAGGTAAAACAAAAGTGAGAATTATATAAAGCTGTTAAATAGTTGATGAAAACGAATCGTATCTTCTAAGATATCACTATTATCGCTACATGTGTTATATTTTATTACAGTGAGCTTAGCTTACTTAGAAGAACACACCTTCGTAAACTTTGCTCCTTGATGTAATTATTTATCCCTTTAAAATGATGAATGCATGATTCTGCCCATAGGCGGTTCCAGATAAGATTTTCTAGGAGTGGCATGGAGCAACATATTGAGTAAAACTTTTATTATTATATGCACACACACACATTATATATCAAGGTACTCGTATTAGAAAATAGATTTGTGAACATTCGCTACACCTTAGATGAGGTAATAAATTTAAAGTCGGCAACATTATTTAATTCTTGCTGCTGAATACTTAAAAATAAAATAATAATTTGTAGCAATTTTTCTTGGGAAAAAATAATACTTTTGATAATGAAACTGATTTTTTTTTCAAAAAAAAATGTAAATACGTATAAATTTTAATGCTTCAATTACAATGAAATTTTAATAAAATTCCTCATTAAACCAGAGGTGGGGCAGTAGGTACCAAGCCCGGGTATCGTCTTCGTCACTTGACCATTGTTCAAAATTACGAGGTCCATCACCAAAATCTTTCAAGTAGCTGAATAGTGCTACTCGAGGGACTACTACTATTGTTACTCACTGTCCCGGGAACCCCCTCTCAAAAAAACTTTCGGAGAATATATTTTAAAGTAATATTTATTGCATATAAACAGACTGTAAGTACTTTGGGTAATTTACGCATTGATTCTAGGTGTCACGTAACTTTCGCACACTCTAGGTGTCTTCTACCATTATATACATGCATTTTTTACACAAACTATTATTAGCAAATTACTACAAATCTAGGTCTATTGTACCTATGAGCAGTCGGACATCATATTCCGCATTAAATTGCTTCTATATTTTAATTTTGATGCCAAATATACGTTGAACAATATTTTTAACTTAGTTGCTTTGTCACAGAATGGCACTAAAATGCTTATAACTATGAAAGAAATGCCTGCGTAATTTGTAAATTTTCTACCTAAAATTTAGGAGTTGTTCCTGCTTTAAATTTAGATTTTAACGTCCAATAAGTTGAAATATCAGTTTAAGCTGTTCTTTCTTCTTCATTAGCAAACCCTCTTATTATCCATTTATACTTGAAGCACGTGACTTTTACGAAATTTAAGATTTTATTTTGTCCATAAAGTATTTATATTTATTTTTACAAGAAAACAATGCGTTTAAGAGAGAGACAGAGACAGAGAGAGACAGAGAATTCAATCTTTTATAAAATTAAAAATTTTCTAAAACTTTTAAGTTTTGATTAAGCAAATAACGATTATTTGTGGAACTTCTGTCAAAGTTCCGTTGCTGCGGTAGCCGAGTGGTATAAGTATCGGACTGTGGCTTGTTTGGTCACGAGTTCGAGCCCAGTACCACTAAAGACCCGCCGTGTAGGGCAGCGATGCACGTTAAATCTGTCGAGAGAAGAAACGTCCTCCCGTTGGTGTGGTATAGTAGTTAGGAGAGGGGGATGCCAGCTCAGGTGCCGTCCACGTCACATGACCATGGTTCAAAATTACGTGGTCCGTCGCCAAAAGCCCTCGTGTAGCTAAGCAGTGCGACGTTAATATTCAATCAATCGATCTGTCAAAATTCCACAGAATACATACAGTTCCACGGCACCCAGGCTCAAGAACTTTGCCTTAAATCATTCTAAATATACTTGAGAAATTTCAGAGCTTTAAGAGAGTCTGTGGCTCTTATAAATTTATTTTACAATTTTTAATGCATTACAAGAAACTAAACGCACAAAACTGCTACGTCCACTTTCCAAATCGTCTGTTGCAAAAGAGCCTATTAAAGAATGAATTACAGTCGGACCTCTACATAACGATGTCGCTAAATCCCGAAAAAAATCGTTATATGGAAAATTCGTTATATAAGGGGGTTCATCTTTCAATTTTCTTTATAAACCACATAAACCAAATTTTAAACTCATAAACAAACACTATATATTAAAAAAAAGTAATTATTCACACCATTTTTGTAAATTTATATATATATATATATATATATATATATATATATATATATATTTATGTATCTTACCTATCAAAAATAAAAAAAAAAAAAGAAAAACTGCAAAGAAAATTTCTTGACGACTTTATCCCCACTTCCATTTTTTTCTTTGGTGCTCAAGCACTTATGTTTTGATATTTTCAAGCCGCAAAAAAAGAAGTTACCAGTACGACAGATCTACACTACAAACGAACGGAGACTAGTTCAAGGACACGGGGACATGAGACAACTACACTGAGGATAAAACGGGATATCGAAGATGTTCCCAGTGAACTGAACAATGGGGTTAAAGGTTGCACTTATTAGATGAAACGCACAGAATTCTATTGCTCTTGGCAAGTTAGGCACCTAATAAAACCAGTTCATGATTTATGGCCACCATAAAATGAGTTAAAAGAGAGAATAACTTGAAATGTGTCCAGAAATACTTCGAAAATTAAGATAAAAAAATTTAACCTCAAGAGAAGAAGTTCGTTATAGAAAATGGGACTTCGCTATTGGGAGGTTATTTTACGAAGAAAATCGTGAAATGTTCTTAGTTCAAGGTAAAAGTTCGCTATAAAGAAAAATTCGCCATAAATAGGTTCGCAATATGTGGAGGTTCGACTAATTCTTTTCCCGCATGTACAAATGAATTGCTGAATTAACATGAAAGTTTCATTACATATTTATGTTCTGGTGTATAAAAAGTCCCACTGGAACAGATGTTTTATGATTAGAGATTTTGCATCCGAAGAGTTCAATTTAATTTAAAAAAGTTAAGTATACAAGGTGGTTAGGTTTAAAATAAAAACTAATACTGGCAAAACAAAAGTTTCTAACAGGTGGCGTGCATATGTTCTTAGACAAGAACAAGTTCAAAGATATGTCAAAATATTTGAATAAACTTGACAACAAACTAGAAGTGTCAGAATTTGAAAAATCATACAATAATTCTTAAAATTCGAAGGAAAATTTAGGAATGAATTAAAGTCCCCTTTATTCTTTACTCATAATTGACAAATCTTTTCAAAAACCATCTGTACAATTCTTGCAAAAATTTAAAGTTTGTATGTTGTTTACGGAAGATCAAATGCATTTTGCCATGATATAAAAGCAATTAGTGATTTTTGCAATAGTTTGCAACAGATTCCCGAGGCAAAGGTAATAATTCTAATTTAAATAAATCTGATTGAATGTAGGAAATTTATTTTGTAACACAACAATTAAAGTTAAAAGCAGAGCTCTCTTAGTTTAATACTCTTTTTCAGGTAAATATATATTCATGCATGAAATTTTAATTCATTATTATTGAAATGTTTTTAGGTATTTATTTAAAGCGATTCTCAACCTTTTTGTTGTTGTTGTTGCGGTATACTTTAAACAATTTCAAACTTTGGCGGCTCACTAACAATAAAAGAAGTTTAAAAGAATTTTTCTTATCTGTAATACGCAATGTTTAATAGCTTATGATAATTTTCAAAGTTAAATAAAATAATATGTACGACAAAGACGACAAAATGTGTATAAAGTAATTAATTTCAAATTAATTTTAAGAATACATTTAATCTGAAATTTGAGCTCGATGATTTTTGATAATTTCGTTCATATTGGGTCGTAAAAATGATTATGCCAACCTCATTTCGTCATCTACGTTTAAAAAAGTCTCAATCTTTTTTCATGCTTTTATTTGTTAATGGTGAAAATTCGATTTCATACAAATAAGATGTAGAAAATTGTAACAATATTTTATAAACTGTTTTGGCTATTATGGAACAGCCGCCTTTAATTTTAATCCAAAATGACTTAATTGACACTTCCAAATGTTTTGAAATGAAATTTCGATTATTACAGAGCGAAATTTGTTTTTACTCAAAGTTAATTCATTTGCAGAGATGTATTCGTTATCACAAATGGATTACGAACGTAATCAAAAATTTTTATATCTATTTATCCACGAAGGGATAAGTTAAATATACCATGAATACCCTTAGTTGATTTTCATAAAATGGCTGAATGATTCAGTTCCGGATTTTATTATTTTTCTTAAACTATAATAATTTTTAAAAAATTTGGCGACACACAAAAGTACCACGGAACAGTGGTTGAGAATCCCTGATTTAAACAAAGACATGGCTGCGGTGCTTCAATTTTGATATATTTCACATATGAATTGTTATTTATGATAATGAGAAAGTTGCTTCATATTGTAAAATATTTTGTTCCATTCAAATTTCTTTTCTTTATATTGAACTAATTTTTAGTTGACTATTTCAATTATACAATAGTTATAGATATAAAGGTGAAAATTCTCTTCCATATTATTGTTGTCTGCTTTAATTCAAAAATTCATGTAATTAATTTTTGTGATTACTTAATTCGCTGAATATATAATCGTCTGTTGTTAAAGTTAAGTTACTTAAGTGTTGGCATGTTTTGTAATTATTCTAATTTCAGACGATCCTCCTTATAACGAACCTCTATATTGCTAATTTTTCTATATAGTGAGCTTTTTCCTTGAACCAAGAACATTTCACGATTTTCTTCGTAAAATAACCCCCTCCCCAAAAGCGAAGTGCATTTT